CACAACTTGACTGGCGCTTCTGCGGCTCGAGCCCGTTTCTCGATCATCGCAACACAGCTCTGGGATCGCTTCGACGAGTGCGGTTTGCTGCCCTCTGACGATGCTGCCAAGTCGCGTTTGAACGACAACACCAACGGATCTGCTTCATTTGGTTCTTCGTTCAAGCCGCTTGCATCCAAAGGTGTCCTGTACGAGCTCGAAAACTTTGAGGTACCTCTTCGTACCTTCCCGGGCTCCACGAGCTTCGTCAACTTCTTGAAGGCATTGGTACAGCTTCCTCCTAGCGCCCTTGCTGCCGGCTCCGGGGCTCTTTCCGATGCTGTAACGACCTCAGCGGCTGGTGCCAACCCTTTCAACACCATTGTCACCTACGATCAGCGGTCACCACAGCAAATGCAGTCTCAGCCGGGATTTCAGCACCACGTAGGCCAGCGTAGGCAGCTCCGATCCGTCGAAGCATACGTCGAGTTCGTCGTCGATCACGTCTTCCTTAAGGCACGCACACGCGACTATGTCGAGCCTGCGGAGCAATGGCGTGTCGTCGCGTCGTGTCTCGACTTTATAGAGCGATCCCTACGCTCATATGACCTGGCAGCACTGCTCCGCAGCAGTGAGGGCGCTGATGCCGTTTCGGACCCTGCCTTGCTCACGCAGCTCGCCTCGCATCCCGGGTTCTTCCTTATGCGTCGCATTCTAACTGGGTCCAAGATGGTCGGCGAAATGCTTGGCATCCTCGTTCCCGGCTCGGGTCTCGCTGCATTTGAGGCGATCAACCAAAACCGCGCAAGCACTTTCTTCTACGGCACCTCGGTCCGACACGTCCTTAGCATCCTTGATCGTGTGCTTCGATACCAGGACCTCTTCGTGCAGGTCTTGATCCCAACCCTGGTCGACTCGACCCTCAGTGGCGTCGAGCTCCCGTTCGACGTCTCAGCTCGTGTAGGCAACTCAGGATCGTATAGCAGCTTCGACATCCAGTTGCTTCACGCACACGAATCTGTTGTCCAGATTGCACTACTCATCAACTGTGTCCGCGACGACGTCGCGCTTCTCTCGATCCGTCTGCTTGGCCTCATCGCCCGCACTGCGGCTTTCAGCGCCGTCGATCGCTTCGGCGAGATGGGCTACCGACGCAAGATGAACCGTCTCGTCGGCTTGCTCGAGATGAGCGACGAGGCTGGTCGCGTCAAGGCTGGCTACGTCGGCCGACTGGAAACCGAAGCCTCTGGAGATGCCGGAAGCGCCAGGCTCATCGAGACGCTCAACGCTCTCGCTGGAGGTAGTGCTGTCGACGACGATGAAGAAGCGGATTTGCTGGCATCGAGCGGCAGAATGGACGGCACCACAGCGCTGGCTTCGGGCGATGCTGTCGAAGCAATTCAGATTACCATCATTAATTTGTTGCTCGCAGGTACCGGACTCGACCAGCCCGCGCCTAACGTCGCTCATCTTTTGCTCGGCTACGACCTGCGAGCAGTCCGACCTGAACACCAGATCATCATCGATCCCGACGCCCAGACTGCTGCACCCAGCGCCATCCATGCCATTCTCGCTCTTCTGCGCCCCGAGTCAGATGGCGAGGGAGCCTCCTTCTTGAGCCTTGCCGAGCGATCGCCAGGCTTTGCTGAGAAGTGTCATGCCCTCATCCTGCGCCTTTGCACACATCCGTTCACAAGCGCTGCTACACTCCGTTACCTGCGCACCAAGGAAGACTTTGTCGTGCAGCAGCTTCGCAGCCTCTCGCTCGTGCCTGCTGAGCAGGCAACATTGACTGCCAGCTCGGCTGCGTTGGGTTTTGTTCAGTTTGCTGACGGCCAGGCCATCGAAACGACAGTTGATCGTGTCACTGCCTCGCTGCGGATGCGTGCCTCGCTGCTGGAACTCACCGCTCTTGAGCTGCACTCGCTCTTGAATGCCGGTATGCAGTCACGAGCTGCGCGTGTCGTTGCAGCGCTATTTGGCTCCAACGCCACCGTGGGCGGTGGTAGCGACGTTGACGCGGATGACAGCACCGACGAGAACGATCTCCTGCTCGGTACCGAACGCGATTTCCGACTCGGCGATGGTGGCGCGGAGGCGCGCACTTTCGGCGGCGTTCGCTTCCTCGAAATCTTGCAGAGTCTTGACTTTGAATGGGACGACCACCGCGAAGCTCTTGGCCAGAACATCACCGTCATCTCTCCTGAGCAGCTCGACCTTGCTAGACGGCACGACGCCGTCGTGGGACCTCGACTCTACGACCTTGGCGCGGTACTCGCCATACTGGTGCGAGAAAAGACTCTCCTCCAGCAGAAGGGCAGCCTGCGCGATGCTGGCCAAACCAACCCTTTCCTGGAGCAGGCTGCGTTCGTCCTGCAGTGGGCTTCGGCTCAGAATGCCAAGAAAGCCGTCGCATTCACGCGCCGAAGGGTGCTGCAAGCTTGGCGCCACACGCTTGACATGGTTCTGGCGCGCGCTGCTGGTTTGCTGCGCACCGAAGTTCGATCGGGGCTGATGTTTGATTGCCTGTCGGAGCTCCTGCCACGCATCGCCACGCCTTCGACCAATGCCGGTGGCCTTGACGTGCCTTCTGCTGATCTCGTTGCTGGAGCGGTGCTCTCGCTGCTCACCTCGCTGCGACAGCACCGCATCGAGTTGACCACAGGGGCCCTCGACCTCGATGCTGTCGATGCACTCCCTGTTGACCGGCTCCTCACCACGCTGCGTGCACTCATCGATTCGGTACTCAGGCTTGAAACCACCACACTGGCTCGCGGCAACCTTTACTCGGCGCTGATCAACTTCTTGCAATTGTTAAAGTCTGGCAGCGGTGCCGAAGCTAACGGCGACGCAGGAGTCGATGACTCGGCTTCTATGCTCGCTACAGACATCGACGAGACCATGTCCATTGACGGTGTCTCGACTACCACCACCAACGTGTTCAGGAGTCGCGCGCAGACGACAAGCTTGGAGGCGCGAACCCGCACCTTGCTTGCCTCGCACGCCGAACGCTTGATGGATGTGCTCGGTCGCGACGCATTAGATGCCAGCGACCTGTCCAAGACCATCGCTTTCACCCTGCTCGACAAACTCTGCGCACTCGATGCCGCACCTTCCAGCTCCTCCTCGCGACGTGGCGGCTCGAGGTGCCTTGACTTGCTCGACCGCCGAGGCTACACCAAGAGCTTCGTCACTGCGCTTCGGGACTCCGACCTAGCCTTGCAGGAGACACTCCGACCTGATCCTGCCAGCTTGAATGCCATTTACGTCTACGAAGCGCGCCTGGCCTTCTTCAACCGCATGGCACAGACGCGTGACGGCGCCGAGAGGCTGCTCAACGCCAAGATCTTTGACGTGCTCGCTCAGTCTGATTTCCTCGCTGCTCGTCCTGACCAGGATCAAGAATTTGTTGATCTAGATAGCTTTCTCCCTGCTGCTACAGAGCGTTACAATGCTCTCCTCACGCCAGTGCTCCAGTTGACGACCAGCATCCTTGCCAGCACTTCAGCTGCCTCAGCCTTATCGCCTAGCCAAGGTCCTTATGGCATCTCTAAGGCTTTGGCTCCTACTTCTGCCGCAGCAGCTCCTCGCCATGCACTGGCGCTGTTGACCGCTCATCGGGACGCGCTCCTCACAGTACTCCGTGCGCCCCTGCAGGAATTCTGTTCCTTCGCTCAGCTTGGCCAAGCCCACCTCGTGGTCGCCATTTTCGTGCTGATCATGCCCTCGCTTGACGATGATGCTCAGCAGGCGCCCAGCCCGCTCGCACCTTTCCACACGGCGATCGTTGCTTTCGCTGCTGTCTACCTACATACCACATCGTGGCGATCGCGTGTCGTGCCGTTCAATGAGGCCGAGCGCGAGGAGGCCCGCACGCCGACTGCATCCCTTCGTGCTCTGCGGGCTTCGAGCGAGGCTCATAAAGGTGCTAATGGAGCGGAAGAGGAGAACGTCTTCAGTGTCAGGGTCAACGCAATGGTCGTTCGAATTCAGATGATTCTTCTTTCATACCTCGAGGCAGCGAGTGATGCACGCGGCAGCAACGCCGCTAGGACCCGACCTGTGCTGGTTCCTTCGCTAGCGGCCAATCGCGAGCGTTCGCGTACACCTTACGGTGGAGGTGATGATGGTGCAGATGGCGGTTCGTCACGTGCCGGGCTCCTTCGATCTCAGCGTGCATCTGCCGCAGCATCAACCGTCCCTAGCATTGGTAGCCTCGTTGCAGCTCTTGATGAATACACGGACGGCGTCGCCAAAGAGCTGCAAGGTCTAGAGAACATCGAGATGCTTCTTGAGAATATAGACTCCGTCCGACAGGATGAGTTGGACGAACTAACGCACGATGCGCTCGGTGAAATCACGGCTGGCGAACTTTCACCTGCACAACGCCGCTCTGTCGCCGTTCGCCAATTGCGCACTCGCAAGACCGCGTTGCGCGCTTCGTCCACATCGAAGCTGGATGCTGTTGAACTCATCTTGGTGCTGCTCATCAGGCATATCGAGTTCTTCCGCACGGTCAGCACAGACCGCACCAACACCTCCGTTTCGTTGACTGGGGCAAGAGCTTCGCCTGCTCCAGTGTTCGGTGGGGCAAGCTTGCACTTTGACCGAACGCACTTGATGCAAAGCCTTGCAGAATCGCTGCTGCCAGTGGTCGAGGACAAGATCGGTTACCTCTCGCTGCCACCTAGTCTGGTGGCCAATGCGAGAGAGAGGCAGAGTTTTCTCCAAATGGCCGGAAGGAGGCTGGCTGGTTTCTTCACCGAGGCAGACTAGACAGTCCCTTCCACACGAGCTTTGAGTCGACCAGTCTCTTTTTGTATCAACCTCACATAAATTTTCCAAATTGAAGCTACCTTGGACGATCTCATCATGCCTCTCGCCATTGAATGCCTCGACTGTGCGTATCTCTTGGCAACAAGAAGCAAAATATTGATGCTAACCTGAGTCTTAAAAAAGTTAACCTTTGCTATCATAATTGTATATGTCTGCAATGCCGAAGCACGCAACACATCAAGCGATCCGAATTAGTTTAGTGGCTATGACGGCGCCTTGTCATCTCAGGATGCACTTCTATGTTCTCCGCGTTTATACGGCGCAGACCCGGGTTCAATTCCCGGATTCGGAGGATTTTTTGGGTTGCAACCTTTTTTCCTCTCATTCACCCACCGTTTGCTAGCGCAACGCCTCTCTGAGTGAAATTGTGTCTTTTTTAAATCCGCGTGGATCACAGGCGAAGGTGTAGAGGTGGATGAGGGAAAAACGCTGGGTATCTTGTTCAGAAATGATTGCGAATGTGCTAAAGGGAGATGGATGGATTGATCTAGTTGGTGATGGAGCTTATTTGCTTGCAAGACTGTGCGAGGAGTGACTGTGTCACTGGATCGAGGGTTGTGTGAGATGATGCGGAGTTTGTATGTTCGGTCTTGGATGGTTGCTGCGTTGTGACTTCAGGTGTTGCTTTCACCGGTGTGCTTGAGTCGAGTGCCTCGCCGAGATCTTCGTCATGATCGACAGGTGCAATCGGAATGACGGGAGCGATTGACACCTCATCCCCCTCACTCACAATACTCGACAGCTCGCTCTCCAACTTTTTGCCCTGTGACTGATTTGCTGCTGCTGCTAATCTCTTCTGCTTGGTCCGAAGCCGCATGATAAGCTTGCGATCCAACTCGATGGCTTTGTTCTGAACCTTCTTAATTGTTCCTCCACAATGTATGACCCTTATCCTTAAGCCTGTCGACATTCCCGAGATTTCTGAATTCACTGCAACTCTGTCTGCAGACATCTCTACGGAACTGGAAATGAGCGTAGCACTTGCCCACACGAGTCGCGCGGCATCACGCGAGCACCTGACAATGGCGACGCCGGTATGCGTACTGTAGTACTTGCATGTGAGCACACCACCGAATGCACCCGCTGCTACGTCTCCAAAGTTGGTGGCAAGCGAGGCTCGGAGGAGACGAGTAATGAGTTGCGGCGTGAGTGTCGACGAAGTGGAAGTGTTGGGTGCTTGCTGCGCGGCCGAAAGAATCGAGGAGGAGGTGGATGCGTTGAACGACGAGTCAAATGAGGAAAGGAAGGGCGAAGTGGTGGCAAGAGGCCTGTCATCTATGGCCAAGAGCAGCCAGCGTGTTTTGAAGCGCACCATGATGTATCCGTACCTTGGTTGATATCGGCAGATGAGATGATCGAAAAGAGGATGCTTTGAGAAACAAGGTCCTTCTCGTTTTACAAAGCTACACCAACACGAGACATCCTTACCTTACCTTTACTTTAGTGTGTTGGACCCTTTTTTCGAGAAAAAAAAGGATCCAATTTTAAAGCTGCATGCTCTGTGCTCCATTTCTGAAAAATTAAAGCCGTGCTCGGCAATCAAATGCGTGAGCTCAGCCACGCAGGTGGCAAACTGTCCATCCTCCTTACATCACCCTTCCGTGCTTTAAAGATCCATTTCACCTCACTTAAAATATCGAACAGATGCAGATTACACGAAGCGGCACAAGCGCTCAATTCTGCTCAACATGGCCCCAGAAGCTGTCCTCGAAGAATGCCGCGAGAGACAGGAGGACGAGATCGTGGCTCTCCAGTCCATCTTTTCCGCACCCGACGATGGTGAGGCTGACGACAAGGATGACAGACCATCAGAGCCGAGAGTCAAGCTCGTACAGAAGGAGCCGGAACCCATCTTAGAGCTCTACCTGCCCATCACGTTGCCAAGACCCACTCGGATAGCCGTACATACCTATACCCACATCGCCAACAGGAGCTCGTCGGAAGCTCAGGAATTGGAGAAACTCATTCAGTCCCAAAAACCAAAGCGCAACGGCCAGAATCGAAGGAGTAAACCAGCTAAACTCAATGCCAAGGCATGCGCCTTCCTTCCCAGCAGTCCGGCTTTGGCAGCATCGCCGGAAAATTCGCAGCTCATACCTCAACAGTCAAAAGTATCTGCTAAGGAGGCAGAAGATGCGGCTGATACTTTGTGTGGACCAAGTCTCCGACAAGCATCCAACACTGAATCAGACACTACAAGCAGGCGCTCTCAATCTCCTCAGAACCAACGATCGCAGCAACCCTCTACAAAGCTCCTATCCGCTCTCGTTCACTTGGCGCCTATCACCCTGCGAGTGCGCCTGCCACAAACATATCCAGCCGAGCAACCACCCATCATCGAAGACCTCACTGCACCTTGGCTACCATCTACTACCGACCGCAAAGACCCATTGCGCGCCTGCATCTTGCAGCAGCTCGATCTACAATATCGCGAGATGAGCGGAATGGAGGTGCTCTACATCTGGGCAACTTACCTCTCTGAAGGATTTTGGGCGTCGCTTCTCGAAGATTCAGCCTCCTCGCAACGCACTCCACCTTCTTTCGTCCTACCGGACTCAGCTTTGGAATCTTCAAGAGCCAGCTTGTACTTTGAAGAGCACCTGCAAACGCCCGATGCTCCACCGCAACTTGCATCCCAGCTCATTGCACATTCTCGTATGTGCAGTCGCACGACGTTCGATGCGTCGTCATTCGACTGCGCCATCTGCCTCGAAACACGCAAAGGCAGAGCATGTACTCGACTCGCCGGCTGCGGCCATGTGTTCTGCTCGGTTTGTCTCGCTGGCTACCTCTCGAGCTTAGTCGACGATGGCTTTCACCGCCAAGCAAAGCGATGTCCCGATCCAGAATGTGTCGCATTGTGGAGCGAGAGGGAGAAGCAGAACCTTGTCGATCAAGAAGGCAACGTCATTCCTCCAAGCAAGATCAAGAATCCCGAGGTCGCACCCACTGATGATTCAGCGAGCCCTGATTCTGAAGAGAAAGTGGTCGTTGGCCTCGTAACCCGACCCGAACTCTCCTTCATTCTCGGGCCAACCCGCCTTGCTCAACTGGACGGCCTTTCAACAAAAGCAAAATTCGAAGCGGATCCTTCTGTCTCCTACTGTCCTCGCTCTGGCTGTCAAGCACCTGTGGTGCGTCTTGCTACCGATGAAAATTCGGGACATTGGGAACGATTTCGCGAGTGTCTCTCTTGCGGTTTTGCCTTTTGTGCATGGTGTTCCCGGTCTTGGCATGGACCGACTTCATGCCCCGTATCGTTTCAATCCGAACTTATCTGTCGGTACCTCTCCCTACCTCGCTCTTCACCCGATCGAGCAATTATGGAGCAAAAATTCGGACGGAAAACTTTAGAAACGATGGTGCGGAAGTATGAAGAGGAGCAGCAGACCCAACGGTGGCTTTCCGAATATACTACACCGTGTCCCACATGTGGTATTGCGATCGAAAAGTCGTATGGATGTAACCATATGATATGCAAGAGCTGTCAGACGCACTACTGTTATCTCTGTGGTAAACCAATCAGCAGTCAGAATCCTTATCAGCATTTCAATACGCCTGTATACGATTGCTACCATCGACTCTTTGACGGTTTGCTTGGAGATCAGGCGCCGCAGCAAGCACGCGAGCTTGGGCAAGGTGAAGAAGGTAGGGATAACAGAGACAGACACGGTGGTGGACAAGTGCATGGAGGAAGGGATGGCGATGGGAGACCGGGATTTGCTCTACTGCTGGATGAGAATGGGATACCAATCCATTTGGAACCAGAGGATCACGAGATGGATCTTCTGGCTTGGCAGCATTTTGTCTGAGTCGATAATTTCACCATCCCCAATAGCTTTGATTAATACCGTCTGTGACAGACTCCTCAGCATCTGTCTACCTTGTAAATTAGCCATTTTCTCCTCACAACCAATCAGCAGCTTTTCATTGTGTCGATAACCTCCGTATCTGAGATTTACGGTGGAGGATTCGATTTGTATCAAACCAAAATCTGAAAATAAATGTGAGTGAATGTATACTATGTCAAACAATCTTTATACAATCGGATCCGAATTAGTTTAGTGGCTATGACGGCGCCTTGTCATCTCTTGATGCACAACAATAAATCTCCGCGTTTAATACGGCGCAGACCCGGGTTCAATTCCCGGATTCGGAGAATGTCATTTTTTTTTTACTTTACTGATCGTAGTATTTTGTTGAACATTGCTGGAGGCATTGCTGGTTTGGCAATGTCATGCGACGCCCTATTTTCTCTTCGGATACATGTGTCTTTGTTGATGCTAGATATGCAGGGCGTTGTGAGAAAATAGAGCAATGATGACGACATACAGCGCCAGGGAGTTGCTGGCGGAAATCTCGCTGGTACACGTGGCTGGCGAATTAACGGAAAAAAAAAACGTGGTGGAACGCAGGGACGGTTTATGAGGCTAAGCATATAATTATGAATGCTGACCATGGGACAATGTTTGTACATTGTTTATCTGCTCATGCTGGTTACTTTGATGGTGGAATTGATCATAAGACGATTATGAGCTAAAGTACCATACACCCATGTTATTCTTTTGGGGCCCCCATTCTTTCTTTTTTTTATTACGACCACGGGATGTCTCTTCTCTGTTGCTTTGGTCTTTTTCCTCCTTTCTTTGTCGCTTTCGGAAGACTTGCTCGCCAGAGCAATTCCAAAATTATCTCAAAACACTGTCTCGGGTCTTGCAAAAGACCCTGCCCATGACAATCAGACCTCGAGAACCCCCACCAATAAAGGGAAAAAAAAAAAAGATTGAACAGCGAGATCGGCCGAAAGTAAGACTAAAAAGTTAAGATTCTCCGAATCCGGGAATTGAACCCGGGTCTGCGCCGTATTAAACGCGGAGATTTATTGTTGTGCATCAAGAGATGACAAGGCGCCGTCATAGCCACTAAACTAATTCGGACGAGACATGTCCGATTGACTCGTTAGGTAGTATTATATTCAGTTAGAGGAAGTCTGTAGTATGAATTTTCACGATGGGCGCCCAGATGTTCAAGGTGTGTAGGTGCTGATGGCTACCTTTGAAGGTTCAAGTAGACACACTTGCAGGGGTTAGACTTTACAACATTGCATCTACAACCTTGCTCTGGAGTCAATGTACCGACGATTGAATAAGCTTGTCCAAGAATCCGGCGGTAAATTTTGGTGGTGACAATCCAACACAGCAGATGTTATCAAGGGTCCAGCTGTAAGTCTGATGAGAACGACATAGATTCAGGAGTGGTGACAAGACGGGCAAGCATTATGATGCTTGATTT